GCTGGGATTACAGGCATGCACCACCACACCCAGCTGATTTTTTTTCTTAATATAGAATGTAATATAAATCATCAGAAACAGCAAAAACTCTGCATTTTTAGATGGCAGGTTTTTTTTTTTCAGTACTGAGGATCAAACTCATGACCTTGCCAGGCAAGTGCTTATGCCACTGAACTGTATCCCCAGCGCCTAGATGGCATTTTTAGATGATAATTTTTAAAGTGAAAATGAAAGTACTGGAGCTTCAGGCCATCTAGATAGCATTATTCATTACTGCACCATGAAAGCAGTGCAGTCCATTTATTCACAAGTGGTTCCTGAGGGCATGCACCAAGTTGGGGTCTTGAAAGGCATGGGGGCCACAAAGAAGATCAGGAGAGAGCACTTCCCTTTCTCCAGCACCTGGCTAATGTTAGTTAAAGTAAATTGCATTGAATTCCAGTAATGTAGAAAGGATATACTTTTACTTTTATAGTTTATTGGAAGGAAATATAGCTAGAAGTCTTTCCTTGTTCATAAAATCACCTGTCCTGGCAGCAGTTTAAGAAGCTGGTCACCTTTTCAGAAATCTCTTTGCCCTCTAGATGATGCAAGGTCTGCTGGTCAGATTTTGTGTGAATCCCTTCCTAAAAAATACCATAAGCAAAACTGACTGGGCCCCTATCCTCTGAATGGTCCACACCACTATTCACACCAGAGGTAGGACCAAAAGCAGCCCCCAACATACCCAGAAAGGATGAGGGCTATTGTAGGCAGCTGGTAGGGGCTCTGTGGGTTGACCTGGTCTCATGATGTTGTCCAGATGAGCCAACCCCCTCCAGAGGGTATGTGAGCCTACTTTTTCCCTCCCACCCTCCCTGGATGTGACCTTGATATCAGGAGCCTTGAGGGTGTTTCCCAGGCCTCAGATCACTCCTTTAATGAGACATGAGATGCCATTGGTGGTGGTGGGGTTAATGGGGTCTTTCACAGTCTGGTCCTCTATACTTTGGCTCTGCCGGAAGTCACTCAGTCCATAGCATCCCACCCCTTGCCCACTATACATCCTTGGACCACACAGCCCCTGCACCTACAAGAAAGATGGTCTTCCCTAACTGCTGTCCTGGCTACCTTGTCATGTGGTCTGCCACCCAGATCACCAACTCCCAAGGGCAGGGCAGTGACTCCAAGTTCACCAGCAGAGGTCCAGCGTGGGTAACTGAAAGGGCACAGACTGCAGACCATGAGGCTGGGGCTCAGAGTGTCCATCCATCCATAAGACGATGGGGAGGCAGAGGTCCCCAGCTCCCCTGAAAGGTTGTGACGCTGTATCCTTTGCTGGCTCTGGGCCACCTCTAACTTGGCGACACACTGGCTAAATTCAGGAGGTGGCCAGCAGGGGCACACAGCTGGAGGCTAAGCCAGGGCTTATGCAGAACTAGCTCCTGTAAGAAGGCCAATGAAACAGCTGTTTCTTTAAGAAGTCTGTCTAGAAAAATTCCCTCAGCTTTGTCCTGACAGCAAACACTACTTGGGCAGTGACAAGAGCTGTTGGCACCACGAGCAGGCACATGCACAGCTCATCCTCTACGTTCCCCAGAGCTGGGCTCCCCCTGTGGAGGTCAGGGCACCAGGCTCAAAGGGGGTATCTGGGGAGAGCCTCTATATGTATTTTGGGTCAGAGAAGGTTACAGAGAGACAAATTAGGAAGTTCTTCACTCACTTAATTCAGCAGATTCTGTCAGTCCTGAGGGGTCTGGCACTCTTGACTCTAAGGCCCCGCAGAGTCATTTATATGCCTTCAGCCAGCACTCAGTCTATGGATAAAGACAAGCTACCAGGCAGCAGGGCTGCATATGCAGATCCCTGCTCCGTTGGACTGGGCACTGAACACTCATTTTCCTCCTATGTTGGTTGGTTTCAGAATTATCTCAAAAATCACCACATCGAGCCAGGTGCTTCTGGGAGGCTGAGGCAGGAGGATAACAAGTTTGAGCCTGGCCTGTGCAGATTAGTGAGATTCTATCTCAAAATAAAAAATGGACTAAAGATATAGCTCGATTCAATTTACAGTATATATATAAAATGTATACACATACACACTCAATTCAATTTACAGTACACACACACACATACACAAAACAAATAAAGATCCCCCAAAACAAACACCATGACTGAACCATAAAACTAGGTCCTGACTTACCCAGTGTCTCTTGGGAACCTCAGATTTGAAAACAGAATCCAAGTATGCACAGATCATAAAAAGCAGGGGTGTGCCTGGGGTCATGGGAATTGTTGGCTGCTGAGGCTCCAGCCTCCCGATTCCCCAAGCGCCTTTTTGTTGTAGTATTTACAGACCAAGAGTGGGTCTGTCCACCTGAAAATTGTGGCTGAGATAGGGTTTAACAACTCAGGTTCCATCGCTTTTTGGCCTTCTTGCTAAGATCAAGTGTGACAGCTCAGGCTCCAGCACACGCTGGCAAGCCGAAAGGGGTGGGTGCTTTGCCTTCCATCATTTCATTTAAAAAACCCAAGAGTTTCTGTTTTCTTGGCGAAGCAGGGAGAATGTCTGATAGACATCATCAGGCAATTTGGTATAGTGTTATCTGCAGTGTCAGGTGTTTTTAACCAGAGCAGAACGCAGTGAAGTCTGTGTGTCTGCTGTTGTTTGCTTGTGACATGGTCACACAGCAGCCTATTGAGTACTTATAGCGGGGTCCTTCCCTCCTGCATGCCAGGGGGACCCCAGGCCAGTGCCATCAACTCAAGTCCTGCTGGGAGAATGTGGAATTCCTCCTGGTCCTCTTGTCCACACAGCCAGCACCCTTCCTGGTCCAGTTCCTTCTCTCCAGCTGGAAGGGAAGAGCTGGGAGGGCAGGAAGGACTTGCCTGCTCTCCCCACTGTTACCCACAGGGGAGCTTGTGTAAACTCACACCACACTTTATCCTTAAGCCTCCATACTCCAGCTGAAGATAACATGGAAAACAACGCTTTTTTTTGCTTTTGTATCTCAGGGACAGGCACCTCAAGGGTTCTCAATCCTGCGTGGAGGGTGAATGCCCCACAGAGGCAGCCCCTCAGCATAGGTAAGATCATACATAGCATAGCAGTTTTCTTCCTCAGGTAGAGCCAGAGGCGTCCCATTCATAAATGAGCTCAATGCAGTGCCAAGCAGCAGCACAAGGATCACCAGTGTGTCCCTGGCCTCTGGGGCAAGTTAGAGGGAAGCCTTAGGACATTCCCAAGACCCTGGCCTCCTCCTGGGTGCTCCCTGCTGGGTACCCGGGCAGTTCTTCTTACTGTCGCCAGGGGCACCAGACAGCAGAGGGCGCGAGGTCGGGACTGATCGACCGCTGCCCCTGCCCCACGACAGGCCCTAAGGAGTATCTCACCGGTAGTCTGTCCTTAAACTCCAGAGTGGAACCCTCGGCCTCTGATCCTCTCTATCCACCCCCATGACACAGTCTTTTGCCTTGGACTCACTGAATAGTCTATATTTTTTAAAAACGAAGGAAGTTCCTAAATTAAGCGTGAAAGTTTCCATTTTGCTTAGACATAATAAATCTAGTCACAATCAAAATAACTTTTTTCTAGCAGTCTTGGCATCAAATTATTTTAATTGCTTGCTCTGGAATTCCTTTCTTGCCGCGGTTCAAAACAGTCTCGTAGATTCTTCTGCGTGTACATGGTCACCTGGAGGGGCATCAGACCAGCGGCAGATCCCCAGCACAAACCTCACAGTACTTTGTTGGTTGCTTTGTAAAAAGTAAGAGGAACTGTTTTGGTTCATTTCGAGACCACTGTATGAAGCTCTTTTCATTGCTTTTCAGAAGAGTTTGGTAGGAACATGATTTTAAGAAAAATTTAAAATCTAAAATAACCACAAATAGTTTTCAAGAATCAAAGTAGCATTGCATTAGCAAATTTAAAAAATAAAGATAAAAGTAAAAACAAAAACCAAACCTAGAAAGTGATATCGAAACGCTGGTAATTACCAGAAGTAGCGCCGCTGGGAAGTGTGGGAATGGTCTGCGGACCGGGCCGAATGGCAGGCCTGTGCTGGCACTGGCCGCCTGGGACTCACGGGACAAGGCCGCCCACGCACCCGCACCGCTGCCAGACCGACCCCAGCCCTTCAGCCTAAGACAGATAGTACAAGCCACAGGCGGCGGCCGGTCCCGCGAGGAGCCCGGGCACTGGCGGCAGAGCGCCAGCCGCACCTCCGTGCAGCGGTGCGCCTAGAGGGAAGGGCAGGGAGAAAGAGGGCAGCAGCGGCTTGGCTGCCAGCTTCAACTTCTCCAGCTCGGCCTCCTGCAGCCGCTTGGCTTTGGCCCGGCGGTTCTGAAACCAGATCTTGACCTGCGTCTCGGTGAGGCTCAAGCTGCGGGAGAACTCTGCACGCTCGGCGACCGACAGATACTGCTTCTGGTGAAACTTGCGCTCCAGCGCCAACAGCTGTGCGGTGGTGAAGGGCGTCCGCGGCTTGCGGGTGTTCTTGTGTTTTCGGAGGGTGCAGGGTGAAGGGCTGAGGGCACCTGAGAGAAAAGAGACGAACAAAACGGGCGCTCAGAAACGGGCAGTACGTCCCGTAGCGGTACTACCGGACCCCTGAACGGCCGGTTGCGGATGCCAGTCCTCACTCGGTGACTTCGGCCTTTGGAGCAAGGACAACCCGAAGGCCGCTGGGGTAAGCAAAGCAAGGGCCGCAGAGGCGGTGGGGCAAGGGTGGACGTCGGCCGTCGGGCACTACCTAAATCCGATGCTCCGCATCCTAGGGTGCTCGAGGACGCTACCCTTCCGAGAAAAGCGAGAAGCAGACCTCAGCTGTGGCGGGAGCGCGGGGGTGGACAGGGGCGCTTCGGCCAGAGAGGGCAGGCACTCGCACGCTTGGCTGGTGTGGGACCCAGAAGCCTTTCGGACCGGGAAGCGCTGTGGGGATGGGGGAGGGTGTGTTTTGCCCTTGCCCTCAGGGTGGCAGCGTTCCTGGCGAGTTACTTCCTAAGTTATGGTCTTCCGATCCCAGGCTGGTCAGGCCCGGTCCCCTTCAGGGGCTGGGACCGCGAGGTTCGGCACTTACGTGGGGGACACGCGCTGGCAGCGGGCGGGAACCAGGGTCCGGGCTCTGTGTCACCCCTCTGCCTTTGCTCCCCTGGCTCTGCAGGCTCCGAGTCCGGCCCGCGCTCTGCCTCCAGCAGCGACTCGACGCTGAAGGGCAGAGGGGCGGACCCGGTGCCGTCCCCGCCGCGAGCCCTGAGCCCAGCGGGGTTCATGACCAACGACGCCGGTGCCATGCGTGGGGCGGCGGGCGCTGCTGGCCCGGAGGGACGCGCTGGACATATGCGCAGAGCGCGGCACTTCTACCCGGGGTCGGCGGCACCCTCGCCCACTGCATCCTATAAAAAGGTGGCTCGGCTTTCATGCGCCGCTCTCCAATCCTGGCGCCGGGTGATGTGCGGTCTTGGAGTCGGTTGGCTTCGGCGCCCTAGAAGGCGGGACGGACAGGGAAGGGCGGGGCTGCCGCCGGGGACCCCAGCGCCCGGGCCGGGCTGGCCTGGCCGCATCCGTACCACTGTGCCCTGCCGGTGGGTTGCCCGCGCTCTTACTGTCGAGCTGTCCGAGCCTCCCCACGCGAGGCACCGACGGCCGGCTTGGGGCACGGTGGAGCCCCTGTCAGGGCATCTGCTCTTGTCCCTGTGCGGATGCTGTGCCTTGGACATCTCTGAACCGTCTGCTCCTCGGCCTCGACGCGTCCTTCCTGATGAACCCCAGTCCTTGGGCACAGAATCCTGTCTCGTACTTGCTTCAGCCCCGGCACTCTCTCTGCACACTGAGGACCGCATGCCACAGACCCTGAGCCAGACCGGCAATTCCGCTTCTGATCTGAGAAGCTGCATCTGTGGCCCTGGATTGGCTCTTAGGTCTCTGGAGTGGCCAGGTGCTCTCCAGAGCAGGGCTGAGCCCTAGGAGCGCCCCGCGGCGGGTGTCGCAGGTCCATGGGCAGAGTCCACAGACCAGCGATAGAGGAGGAACTCTCAGTGCCCCCCACGACAGACTCAGAACACAAGCTTAGCCCTTGGGCTGCTCCGGAGCACGGAGTGGGTTCACAGTCAGACTCAGGCGCTCCCACTCCGCATGTGCTCAGCCCAATTCTCCGGGCTCACCTACAGAAGGTTCTGGGAAAGGCCCTGGTCTGTGGGGGCTTCCCCCAGACCTCAAAACATTCTAGGTCTTCCCAGAAGCTCCGGAGGACCACACTTGCACCCAGGGCTCAGAAAAGAGACCAGACAGAGACTTGTGCTTTTGACGATTCTTTTTTCAAAACCCAACCAACTGACCCACCTGCTGCAAAGAGAGGTGCCTCTGAGCAGACTCTTCTGAAGGCAGGAACTTGTTGCAGGGTTTTGGAATATATCGTGGATTAGTTTGGGGTAACAACCCTGTGTCTGATCAATACCCTAGAAACAGCAATCTATATCGGTATAGGTACTGGGATTTGACCCCAAGGCCTTCCCACTGAGCTACATCTTCCGCCCTTTTTTATTTTTTATTTTGAGGCAGTATCACTGAACTGTTAAATTGCCCAGGCTGGGCTCAAAATTTTCATCCTCCTGCCTCTGCCTCTGATAGTACTGGAATTACAGACATGTGCTACAAAGACCAGCTGACATATGTTTATTTTTTAAAAACCAAAGTTGTTTTAATGAAGTCCAACTTCTGAGGATAGCTTAACCATCCAGCCCAGGCAGAACTATTAAATTGTAGATTTCCTTTGTACAATTTTTTTTTTTTGTCTTTTTGAGACAGGGTTTCACTCTGCAGTTCAGGCTGGCCTCGAACTCACTTTTGTAGCCCAGGCTGGCCTCCAACTCATAGTGATCCTCCTGCCTCAGCCTCCCAAGTGCCAGGATTACAGGCATGTGCTGCCATGCCCAGTCTCCTTCATATGAATTTAGAAGCTGCTGGAAGGGGTGCTCAGAGGGCTTCTAGATGGCTAGGCCTAGTGTCTGATGGGGACCAGCTCTTCCTATGTTCATAGGCTGACAGCCCCTTTCTACTGTAGTAAAGATGCCCCGAGTTGAAGATATTGCATCATGAAAGCACTTTCTTTGAAGGCCTTTCTTTGGTAGTTTATCGTTACCAGGCCATTTACAGGTGTGTTCAAAGAATTTTAGTAAGGATGACAACAAACCGGCCTAGTGTGTGCTGTGTCCATCTGGGATACCACAGATGTGGCCTCTGTGTGGAGGAAGCACAAGCCTGTGCTGCTGTGTGGCTGGCATGCCCACCTGTGAAGGACAAGGTCAAGGGTCAGGAGCAGCTTAGCTGGGAAGGGTTCTTTCTTGCCAACTAGTGGGCTAGTCCTTCCTTGGGCTTCCCACTTCTCAGTGTGTCCACACTGACGTCCCTCGTGGCAGCCATGCCAGCTGCAGCGTGGCCCTACTTCACCCAGAAGGTCAAGGGTGAGGGAGGGAAGGGGCAGCACATCAGGCTAGGCATGAAAACCTAGGCCCCAACAGCACACAGACAGGTCTCCTTGACTGATAATCTCTTGCCCCTACTGTGGCCCAGCTGGCAGAGGGCTTGAGATGGGGACAAGGATAGTGGGAATGCTGGTTTTGGGTACAGAAACCTGAATTTACAAGCAAAGAGAGCCTGGACACTGTCTGGTCAACAGAAAGGATGGGGATCCCCAGGGGCACTGGGCCTCCCAGCAAGGACAGAAGGCTGAGCAAAGAGGTTGCAAAGAGGTCCCTCATCCCAGCTGTCCCGCTGTGCCCCTGGAATGATATGTAAAGTCCTGAAGGTTCCCATTCTTCTCTCTTTGGCAGACACATTCTGCAGTTTAAGGGGAGTTGTTTCCTTCTTGGTTTGGGGCTCCTCTCATACCGACTTCAGACAGAAGAACAAGTGCATGCAGACCATAGGGCTCAAAAAGGCTTCAAGTGGGATGAGGAGATTTCTGAGAATGAATTTCATTCTCATAGTATATTTGCAGTGTGGCAGGGCTAGAGAAGCAACTCTCCCTATCCTGGGCTCCAACAGGAGGATGGCTTGGTGCTGCACAGTCTAGTCCATGCTAAGACCATTTCAGACCGTACTATGGGATGAAGATGACAGGGTCTCCTAAGTCACCAAGTTGCTTAGGCGAGGCTCCAATTTATGATTCTGCCTCAGCCTTCCAGAGTGTTGATACTACAGGCTTGTGCCACCAGCAAGCCTGGCTTGGGTGTAGCCCTTTCTTTTCTTCTCTTTTTAAAAAAATTCATGTATGTTTGAAATACACAATAAAAAAGTTCATCCTGGAGAACTGGTGTGTATACATATTGCATCTTGCTCCTTTTTACTTCCCTTTGCCCACTCTTTCTCTTTCCTCCCCATCCCTGCATCTACAGCTTATCTCCACAAAGTCTGTCTCCCTGTTTCCTACAAGCAATAATTTGTTTTGCTCCTAAATTATTTATACTTTGGGTATAGAGAGACAGAGTCTTGCTGTGTAGTTCAGGCTGGGATTCTTATATAAGGGAAACTGTGATATTTAATCTTCTGTGTCTGACTTATTTCATTTAGTATTATGTTCTCAAGGTCCATCCATTTCTCTATGAATGACTCAAATTTATCCTTCTTTATGGCTGAGTAGTACTTTGTTGTGTATATATACCATATTTTTCTTATCCATTTACCTGTCGATGGGCATGTAAGCTGCTTCCACGATTTAAGTGGGTATGCAGGTGTCACTACAATATGGTATCTTTAAATCTTTCAGCAAGTTACCTAGAAAAGGTACAGCTGAGTCAAAATGGAATCTCTAATTTTCTGAGGAATTGCCATACTGATTTCCGTAGTGTTGGCACCAGGAATGTAGAAGAGTTCTTTCCCCCCTACACCCTTGCCAGCACTTTTTTTTTCCTCAATAACAGCCATTCTTTCTGAAGTAAGATGGAATCTCAGTGTTGTCTTGATTTGCGTTCCTCTAATGGCCAAATGTGCTGAACACTTTTTCATGTACCTATTGGCCATTTGTACTGCTACTTTTGAGAAGTGTTTGTTCATTTCAATTGCCCATTTTTTACTGAGTCTTTAATTTTTGGGGTCCAAATTTTTAAAATATATACTAGATATTAGCTCTTTGTTTGAGGAATGGCTGGTATTTATCCCATTCTGTAGGTTGTCTTTCCATTCTGTTGGTTGCTACCTTTACTGTGCAGAAGCTTTTAATTTGATATAGTCCCATTTGTTGACTGTTGATGTTATGTCTTGTACCTTTGGGGTTCTGTTCAGAAAGCCCTTGCCTATGCTTATATCTTTAAGAGGTTTACCAATTTTTAATTCCAGCAGATTCAGTGTTTCTGTTTTTATATATGTCTTTGATACATTTTGATTTTAGCACAGGTGATTTTAGCGCAAGATGAGAGATGTAGCTCTAGGTTCATTCTTCTGCAAACGGATAACCAATTCTCCCAGCATCATTTATTAAAGAGACTATCATTTCTCTAACAAAATAGTTTTATAATATAATTTGAAATCCAGGTTTGTGGTGCTTTCCTCTTTCCTCCTCTTGCCTAGGATTGCTTTTGCTTTTCTCAATCTCTTTGTTTTTTGAGACACAGTGTCTCTGTGTAGTTTGGGCTGGGCTTGAGCTCATTGTGTAGCGCACGCTGGCCTTGGACTCATGGTGATCCTTCTGCTTCAACTTCCCAAGTGCTGAGACTACAGGCATGCACCACCATGATTGGCTTTCTCAGTCTCTTCATGTTTCATATAAATTTTATGGGTTTTTTTTTTTTAGCTTTGTGAAGAATGATGATGTTTTGTTTGGGATTACATTCAATCTATGTATCATTTTTTGTAATATGATTACATTTTTTCTTTGATACAGGGTTTCTCTATGTAGTTCAGGCTGAGCTTGAACTCACTATGTAGCCCAGGCTGGCCTCAAATTCTCAGGGGTCCACTTGCCTCAGCTTCTTGAGTGCTGTAATTATAGGTGTGCACCACCATGCCTGACTTGTACAATGGCCATTTTGACAGTATTGGTTCTGCTTATCTAGGAAGAGAAGATCCCTCCCTTCCCCATTTTCTGATGTCCTCTTCAATCTCTTCAGAGCACTGTAATTTTGTTATAGAGGTCTTTCACATCCTTGGTTAGATTAATTCCTAGGTATTTAACTTTCTTGGAAGCTATTGTGCATGGGAAGGATTATGGTAGCATTATTGTTGGTGTACAGGAACCTACCAAAATAGAACCAAAAAAATAAGTTATTCATACATGGTAGGTTCTTGTTGCTTTTGAATTTTGTGTATTGAT